AGTCAGATTTGAAATAAATCTAAAAATACGTATGAAAATTACAAGATATATATTTAATACAAATATATAATACGAAATAATACGAAGAAGAATAAAATATATAATACGAAATAATACGAGATTACGAAAGTATTGAAACAGTCACAGTCCATTATAGTTATCAATAAGACTTGATAATTCCTAACAAAATTTTGGATAATTTTTTTATCATTGGTAACACAGTAATAATCATCAAACCAACTTTAAATAAATCTACTCCTCCTTTACCTTCCTTTTACTATCTTTTTCAACTACAAAAGTGTTTAAACAGCCTATTATAGTTAAAACTAAATAGTTGTTAAGATTTAACAATTCCTAACAAAATTTTGGATTAATTCTTTTATCATTGCACTAATAATTATCGAATCAAGTAAATCTATCCCTTCTTTTACTTCTTTCGTCTTCAATTACAAAAAGTATTTAAATAATTACAGTCCATTATAGTTATCAATAAGGCTTAACAGAGGTACAATACGAAATAACTTTAGACGATTCTTTTATTATTAGTATATACAGTCACGCTCATCGCTGTCAATAATTGTGAAAACAACTTTCAATTAAACCTGCTCTTCCTTTTCCTCAATCATCGTCGTAAGAGGCACGCAATTGCACAAATGTCCGCAGTCTACCGTACAACTACGTACGTAAGGAAGATTCTCCCCAGTTATATTGAATCCCAGATATATTTTGAGGATTCTACGTCGAGATTCCGCATGAACGAACAGCCGGTGAAACTTTCGTCGTGAATCAGGAACAGACGGTGATCGCGACGCTGCAGGAAAATACTCGCAGCTCGGGTTCCTCGCAGTTGTCTCGGCTCGCAAATATCGTTCGGCCGAAAATTATAGCGATAGTCGCGCGATGCTTCAGACCTTGCGGGAGTCGAGCAAAAGCAAGAGCAAGAGCAAGGGTGATACAAAATTGTAAAGGGCAAATATTTGCATTCGACGAGGCGGAGGATATTTACATTGGACACGTATTGCATCGTATTTCCCTTCGGCATAGCGCCGGGATTAATCCGAATACGCTTCTCTCGGCAACATTTCCGCGTGAAGTCACCGATGCTTTAAAGGACGTTTGTTTGGATATTCCTCCGGCTTACGATCTTTACGAGACGACCCGGCGAAGTCGCGCACTGAAACGTAACGTAACGATGCCGGACTGGAATCGAAACGAAGCTTTTTCACCCTGTCTTCTCTCTCTCTCTTTTATTCCGTTTCTCTTTCTTTTTTTATTTCGTTCGTTGTTTCTTCGTTGAAAGAGAGTTTTCAAGCAAACGAATTGTGCATAAAAATGATAAAACAAGATTATTGGGGAAGAATATATTTATTTCACCAAACCAGTTCACTTTGTCCAGAAGCTAATTTAAAATTCGATACACTAAGTTGTTATTTATTTATTAACATTATTATTTGTCATTTACTTTGGAACACGTGTTCTCGAGAATTTTCGAAGTAGCTGCACTGTAATGATTACCTCCCTTGATAATTGTATCTTTCACTCGATAATTTCGTCTTTAATGAACTCGCAGCAAATGTTAAGAAGTTTCTCCAGTGAAAAATTTGATTTGAATCGTTAAGAAGCGTAGATTTAGCCTTAATTCACTCACTTTTTTTCCATCATTTTGTATTTTATGTCGTTACTTTAAGTTTATATACTTCAATATATTTATGTCACTTGGGATATTTTTATTATTAACCCATTTGCATCCAAGCGCGGAATAATCCGCGAGCCGCGACTG